AAACAAGAAATTTTTAGTTCGTGTTTTATCTTTAGAGAACTATCATATCAACGTGTTAGAAAATGATTTCTTCCATGATTTTATGCTTAAACAAAATAATTTATCTATAAAATGCCGGTGCGTTTGTAAAAGTTAGTATGAAGTAACGTTGAAAAAGCAATGATGTAAGTTATTTTTATTATGAAAGCGGCAGATTTATTTTAATTCGTGCCATCTTAGTAAGTAAAATATCCAATAATTATTCTGCTTTTATGGTTGAATGCTAACTTTTTTCATTCAAACCTTCAAATTTTCGTCTTATGATTTTAAAGAACGATAGTTATTCAAGCAATCAGACATAAAGAAAAGCAGCAATTGAGGAACAAGAATGAATTTCGTTCTGAGTACATTTTCAAAACTGATTTTAGAATTTGTATTATGAAGACAAAAATACAAGCGAGTAAATAACCAGGAAAGAGTCGAAATAACATTTATTGTTAAGTTTCTGTCATTCCAAAAAAATGTCGATCAGCCCATATGGATTATCAGAGTTTCGAGAAAAATAAGAGTGAAAGATATTATTTGGAATTCCATCTACATCATTTCAGAACATGATCTCGTTCTTTAAAAAAAAGCGCTTCTATCTCCAAACTTTTTGCTTTGAAGGAAGAATACAGTTCTTTACATACAATTACGTTAGCACTATTTTCCAATAGTTAATCACCTACAGTTGAAACTAGAAGTTCTCAAGGTCATGATACAGCCAAGCAGATTTAATATATTTTTGGAAAAAGATGGAACGAAGTTTCGAAAATTTCATGCTTTAATATTGCACCATATAAGTAGAAATGCTTGCAAAGAAAAATTATTGTGATTTCTATAAATTAATTAGTCACACAAATTTCAATGTATAGTCATCACTGATAAATAGTATTACGTTTTACTTTTATTCTAATATTTTTATATAGAATAGAGTCCTGATAACATTTTATAAAGTAAGTACTAATGCTATTCAAAAAAATAGCATGAATTTGTCATAACTCAGATAAATTATATGGAAGTTGCTAGCAGAACTAAATACATGAAAGGATAATAGCAGTTCGTGTTTTGACAATCACATTAAGATTCATCAAGAAATATTTTGCAGTAGCAAAATAAAGATATGACAACATCTGCCATGCATGTATTTTATTATTAGGCATTTACTCATGAAAACTCTGGAAGGTTCATTTCGATAACTAGCAGTAAACGAATCAGTGCATATGAGCGTGATTTTCGATGTGCTAAATAAAGCTTCAGAGTTTAGTATCAATTTGCGAAAAGTATTAGCATAGGGTAATCAAATAGGAATGGATGTCAAGAAAGTTGTATTCTCTTGATGTAAGCCAAGGTTACTAACTAATCATTTAACCATCTTAAAAACTAACTTTTCGCAAACTTAAGCATATTTATATGCATGTATATATGTATTGTCGTGTATCTACTAAATACATACAGAAAACTGATTTGCTTCCATAACTTTTCATTAATTGAACAGATTGAAGTGCTAAAATGAATAAGCGTGAGAAACTAAAATGTAAGAGTCGATGCATATTTGGATTGAGTAAATATCGCTCCTACTAGTCTCTTTAGCCATACTGCTTGTTGCTATAGAGTAAACTTGATTGAATAGCAACTAAAACTAGAACGCTACTAATTCATTTATGTATTCAGTTCTTTATTTCGAAGCCATTTATTTGACATCTACATCCATGCAGATACAATAAATGGTTGCTAAATGTACTGACTAAATTACTGACATTTCTTATGAAGTCTTTCTTACATGAGTTTTGGTTTTTGATGTTTTATCAAGCTTTTCTACTCATGTTCTTATAATGATGTCAGTAAAATTCTATTTTGCAGATAAGGCAACTGCCATGGGTGAATCATTAAATTGCAACAAATTAAACATGACTGCATCAGCAGCAATGATTCGTTTTATCACATTCCAATTGCTCATGCAAGAGTCATTTTAAAATGGCTATAATATAATATTTCTTACTTTTATACACATCTAATGAACTACGTTTTTTATTTGTTTTTTGGGACTTATTTACGAGAGAATATGCAAAAAGAGCATATGTTCACTTCTTCAACAATGAAAAGGAAATCCAGAAAATAAGCGGAGACAAAATTCATCCGTCATCATTCACTTTGCAATCTAATGCAATCTTGGGAAGACTGAAAAAGTTTTTTGATTGCATCATTTAAAATTTAAAAATTTCATTTCACTCTTTTTTGCTAATTCCTGTTTTCAGTCAGACTGCTTTTCTGAACATCACATTTATTGAAAAGGATTTTTTAAATAAATATGTGCTGCAGCAAACAAAAAAGTCCATTAAGTTTGATATAATCAAGTTTGTTACAAATTGAAGAAGTGCTTTGAACTTCATATGCCAAAATTTGTCGTCACATTCAGCTGTTTCACCATTCATCTAAAAGGTATGTAAAACAGTTATTAGCCAAAAGTATACTAGCGAATGGAATATGTGTTATATTAAGAAAGTATCAACAAACAAAAATCAGTCTTCAATAAGTATAAATAAATTTATCCTTTACTTTCTTTTAAATGAAAATTAAATTTTAGTTTTATGACGCAGTTACAGCATTAAAATGAAATTATCTGCTAAGTATCAAAGTTTATTAGTACATAATCAAATAATATTCTTTAGGCTAAAATTAATATTGAATTCGGGGAGATTGAAAGTTCAAAAAATTTGAATTAAATGAGCTTTCATTTCAAAAAGAGTAATTGAAGTTGACGTAAAATTTTTATGAAACAGAAGACATCATTATGAAACATAGAAAAAAGCAACAAAAATAACTTAAAATGCATTACATCATTTACTCATATTACTTTGTCATTACAATGTAACATTCAGAAAATATTGCATTTTCAAAAGTAACTTTTTCATATAAACTTTAATTAATAAAATATTGCATGATGAAAAAATTTTGTTTTGGATTTATTGTACTACTTCACATGCATTTATTCATTTGTAGCAAATGCCAAATTAATAAGCAAATTCTTATTTAACAGGAAAGTTATAAAAGTCTCTTTGTTTCTTCACTGCTTTAATGTGGATGTGATAGATAAATTATGAGTTGCAACATATTCAAAGAATTATGATTGATACTTGAAGTATGTCGTGCTTAGCATCAGTACTTGTTTAAGCTAATAGATTTTCCTTTAATAAAACATAAGCTAAGGCGAGAAAAACGGCATGATAACGAAACATTGAAGTTTGTGATTCTTGAAGCATAAAGCATATTTCAATAAAAATGCAGAAATAATGTGTAAATAATGCAAAAGAAAGACTCTAATTTACAACTTTGAAATCTGTAAAAAACGCTTTTTATAAAATATACTCTACTGATTTTTTTTTTTTTTTTT